CCTTATCACAAACATCCCCATAGCAACTTAAGGGAGGATGCCTTCTTCCTGGCATTTGGCATCTTGAAGTAATTAGTTTCTTCTTTTCTTTTTCCTAGTAGATAGCAGTTGTCCTTATAGATAGCAGATAACAGAGGAGCAGAAAGTGACTTGAGAAGTATTACTCATTTAGGTGGTATGCCTGCATCATCATATGAATATGTATGCGTATGCGTTCTTTTTCCTTTCCCCTTCTTGAAGAATTGTATAAATATCAAGGCATCCGTTTTGTCTACAGGGGGAGAGTGTCTCCCACTAACCCTTGGTGGGGTCCCCCTCCAGTACATACCATTGAATAAACACTGCAGTGAAGCCTTGATTATTTTGCATTTGTGTCCTGCTTTTTGATTCCACACAAGGCCGCCGCCGCTGCCTCCTCCTCCTCCTCCTCTTCTTCCTCTTCTTCTTCTTAGCTTTCCTTCTCTACCAATTATCCCTTTCCCTTGCCTTAATTCTATCCAGTTTTGTTCCCTCCTCTCTCTTTTTTCCTCTTTCCAGTACAGATATGTCATTCTTTTATTGTCATCTCCATTCTGTTTTTTCCTACCTTTTTTCTCTATTTCTCCTAGGAGGAGGGAGGGAAACATGTATTGGATGATGATGATGATTAATTTATTTGCCCAACTACAATGGATTCTGGATGCTCTACCTGAGAAAGAGGACACCTGAATTCCAACATTATGTGCACATACATAAATATATGCACATGTGCGAAATCTCCAGTTTTGTTTCAGTTAGAATTGGCAACCCTAGTTTAACAAGAAGGGGAAAATGGAATTATATTTGTGAATATAATTTTTTAAATGCTTTTTTCAGGGATTTGTCTAAAATTCAGAAAAATCATTCTTTGAGGTAAATATGGTCTATCAAAAGCAAATTAATGCAAAAATAGACTTCTCAGATCATAACACAGGATGGATGGATGGATGGATGGATAGATGGATGGATGGATGGATGGATGGATGGATGGATGGATGGATGGATGGACAGAGAGACAGACTAAATGAAGGTCTTACCTTTTGCTGGTTTAGATGGAATTCGGATCACAGTAGGTTTCCGCACAACAGCTGGCTGAACTGGTTGCTCTTTTGCAGACTCAGCTTTGGATGGCAAATTGGTAGGATCTAAGAAAAATGTAAAATGTAGTATTTTATTCTGTTTCAATTCAAGAGGAAACATTTACTAACACTCATAGAAATCTAGGGTTGTATGCTGAAGGAAATACCTCCACCATACAATCTAATCTTTACAGTAAATTTCAATAAGGGAATTCTCACAGTCTAGCAAAGGGGGTCTTTCAAAACACTGCAAATGAGGAACAGATGAACATTTCAGCCTTATCTCCTAAGTGTGGCATCAGTTAATTAGTTATGGAATCTTGAAGAACTAAATTCAGCAGCTCACACAGACCCCTCCTTAATGGGTAATAAATGACTAATTTTTCAAGTTAGTTTACAAGACTTTGTAATCTAATTCCTTTTTCCTTGCATTAAACTTGATTAATAAGATTGTGTGAAACCTGCTTCCTTGGTCATACATTGTTAGAAGCTTGCCAACATCCCTCTAAACAGAACATTTCACTCATATTCACTCTCAGGGTTTCTTTTCCAATTTGCCCTGAACACATTTTGGCTGCTGAGCTTGCTTTTTTTGGCATTTTGATATTTTTCTTGGTTTATAATCATTATTTACTTCCTATAAAGCTTTCCAAAACACTCATAACACCTGTCATATCCAGATTCACACTGAAAGACTACAAAAGCCACTTTCCATTGCCAGTTGTCTCAATCTTCAGTTCTGGATAGGCTCACAGCAACTTGACAGTTACATTTCTCACAATGCCAATGTGATGATGCCAGTCCACATTCACAGGAATGACAGCCAGTTACTCAGACTGTGAACATACATTGGGAAGCATGACTTTGATCGTATAAAGCAAAGGCAAATGCATCACCCCCTCTCTTTCCTGGGTAGGAAAAAGTTTTATTCTTTTAAAGTCAGATACAGAACTCTGGAGAGTTCTGGGGAGTATTTGCTGTGCTTAAGCTGGAAAAAAAAGAAGGATGGTATACTATCTTCCTAATACTTTTGATGAATGGCTGGAATTATCCTCAGAGGCTAGGAGAGGTCCATGGGAAAGAAAAAGAGGACTTCAGGATTCAGGTTTTCTTTAGGAAATAGGTAAATGTTTTACGTAGTAGCTGTTAAGAGTTTTATTTAAATTGCTTAAGTGCAATGCTTTTTATATCTTTACACAAATTCAGTGAGAGTATTTACTTCATTTTTTAATGTGCATATCAGGTTGTGCATGAAGATGCTTCCTTTCAACTCTCTTCACATCACATTTTTTCTCTAACAAATTCTTGAATTCTGTAACTCAAAATATGGGGCGATTATAATAGATCAGTACCATCTTTTGGTCTTTTGGATTTTTTAGGTTAAACTATATGCCACCTGCTGTGATTCACCAGCTCTGTACTCTAGCTCCTGCAACAATGAATTTTTAAGTCAGAAGTTTATATAAATTTATAAACACACACACATTTATTTTTTATTTACTCTTGTAAGATTGGTTTATCTCCCAGGGTAGGAGTGGTGGTGGAGGTGGCGGAGAGACGGAACGATACTATCTCTAGTCAGATACCTTGATGCTATATGGTCAGGAGGTGCAATTACTTCCTTATTCTAGTTTTTTACTTGCCAACTCTCTCTCACAATGAAAGTTAAAGGGGAGGATGACAGGCCAGACATCCCACTGGAAGAGAGGTGGTGGCAACAGGAACTACAAAGCCAGTACCCCAGGGCAGGAGGTTGGGCCAGGGGGTGAAGACCAGAAAGTTTTGAGAGAGGATGTTTGAAATCTCCAGCCAACCACCCTATAAGCTCAGCCTGCTTGCTATCACATGGATCACAGCAAACAGGAAGAACTATTCTGATACTTATAGCTTTTTACTCCACAGCCAGTCATGTTGATGAGATGGAAATAACTACAGGAATAATGCCTGGTTTTAAATTCACAAGCCAGTTCTACAGCTTTTAAAGCAAATTGTAACCTTCATTCTTTGGTATCTAAATTAACCAGAGTTTCAATGGAAAATCAGTATTTTCAGTACCATTTTACTGTTGTACAAACAGTTGATCTATTTTAAAAAAAACTTTCTATAAACATTGTTAAACATAATGAGATTTCTCCTTTGACAGGACTTTTGCTATCCATGATGTATTGAAAATCTTCATAAATCAATATGTAAAACCGTATTTCTATTATACACAGATCTGCCCAGAAATAGCCTCTTGCACACAAATAGCTAACATTCTTGTGCTAAAAATTTACTAAGGCTAATAAACTAATGACTAGTTTAGACCAGCTAATTATTAGGATCAATATGTTCCACTTACATTTCTAGTAACAATAATTAGCTTATTAAATTTCAAAAGTGCTCACAGTGATTCCCAGCATGACAATCACCCTTGTAACAATTTGGATGTGAGATGTAAACTCATACACATATATTTATTTAGCTCTTCACCTCTCTGCTATACTAGCTCCTCAATACCGGGAAAATGTTAAAGTGTGATACCTCAAACTTAGTATTTTTTATGCAAGCCTTATTAAAGTCTATCAAAAAATAATTGAATTGAATTTCAGAAAATCAGCCATAAGCCATTTCCTGTTTCTTCTGTTCGATTACTAATTTTCAGTTCCATTTGTTGTAAAAGTACATTCTGAAGAAAGGTAATTCTGCCAGTATTTGAAACAACTAAAATTTCACAATGAAAAATGAAGGGAAGATCAAATATTTATAAACTTTAATGAGAAAGGAAGGATTTGGGAAATTGGAAAGCATATTATTATGAAATATACCAAGGCAAAAATGCACATGCTTATGCCCTGAAAATAATCTGAAAAAAGGTTAAGAATTTATTATTATACTGCATAGAATAATATATAATATTATGCAATACTATATATTGTCTTTCCCTCCCCTTCAGATTGCAAAATGGTAGAGGGGTTCCAGATAGATAAGCAAACAAAGGGGTAATAAAAATCATGATAGCACATCTACATTGAGTAGAACAGAAAGAACAACACAATTTATGGTAACATATACATACATACATGATAAACTTAAATAGAAGCACAAGAAAAATTAGATACATACGACAACACCTTATGTTATAAACCAGCTTCTATACTTTCTACAATACATACTTGAGCAAAATATTATGCTTGTTTGTACACTACAGCAGTATCAGTTCTAATGCATTAAGATGATCACTCAAGGGTCATACTTTATTTACATTTATACAGTATGTCAGTGCAAGCATGGAAAGGTAATTCTACACTGAAACATTTATAGAAGTTTCCTGCAATTTACATTCTCTTAGATGTGGCAATATTATTCTCAGAACAATGTATTCCTTTGTTGTAATTCAAGCAAAGGTTCCCTAAGAAATCAAAGATAAGGGGGGCCACTCCAGAGTACAGCTTCCTTAAGTTAAGCACACAAACCAATCCTGGCTGTAACTTGGAAGCCTATCTGGGGTCTTCAACATACTGTAATCCAAATTATAAGCATCTACCTTTATCACACTTCTGTTACCTTGGGATACATGGGTTTGAGGTATTGATAAATAAATCAAAATCCAGTCATCCTGCAAACCCTCTGTTTGGAAACTAAAGTCAAATACAAATAATATTTAATAGACATTGATTTGATACCATAGTTCTCAACTGGAAAACTGACCAGTACATCTGACCAAATTCATTACAGACACATTTACGTGTGCAGGTTACAAATGAATTTTGACTGATTTCATAGTTTTTACAAACATACTACTGTTGCTATTAAAAATGCACCTGCATATACTATATAACCTGAAACCATTTTTACAAAAAATCATTTTCTCTTTTTAAATCTTACCTGATTCTGACTGAGAAACTTCTTGAAGACCCCTGACTGCATTACAGGATAAAATATCATCATCAAAGCTGATCAGATCTTCTGCAGAACTAATATTTTGTGTTGGAGGTGCTACTACATTGCTTGAAAAACAGTCCACTGGGGATCTAAAGGCATTTGACTGGGCAGCTATGGAGAGTTTGGGAACAGTATTTGTTGGTTTCAGGGGACGCACAGGAAGAGAAGGACTTTCAAAAGAGACTGACTTCTTGGGAACAAGTGGCCTAGGAGCAGGAATGGGAAGTTTTCTCTGTCCATCAGTATTCTCCAAAGGTGACCTGCTTCCTGGATTAAGGAGCCCATTGCTGTTACTCTTTACACTCACTGATGTTGGTTTCTTTGGCAATTCAGGCTTGGTTATAATGTTGCTCCCAACTTCCTGAGATTGAAGGGGCTTCTCTTGGGAGACGACTTTTTGTTTATTTTCTGTCCAAGACTCCCACTCTCCTGATGCTCTGTTAACTCCTGGCTTTGGTGCCACCACAGGCTTTTTTGCACTAATTATAGATTTGGGGCCTAATGAGCGTGGAGATACTTCTGGTTTCTTGGTTAGTCCTGAAGTTTCAATGTTCCCTTGCATTTCAAACGATTTAATCCGTGATAATACATTACTTTGGTTCTTGTCTGTATCCATGCTGTCCAGTACTATATGACTGTCCCTAAGGTTATCATCTAATAGGAACATCAAATGATTGGATAAATCATCCTTTTCACTCCTTGACTGGCTTGTTTCTTCCTGATTGTTTGCTTGATTGTCTTTAGCCACAGGTTTCAGATTGCCTTTTGATCTTGGTTTTGGCACAGGACATATCACAGCATTAGACTTCTCCTGAGATGTCTGGTCGTCTAAGATAACTAAGAGTTGTTCATTTTGGGGAGGATTGCTGTTTAGCAGAGATGATGAAGGTCTAGGTGGCTTCTGAGAAGTATGTGTAACTGTAAAAAGTAATGTACGTATTCAATAGGTTTTACTGAAAGATTGCAACATCAAATAACCCATTAGACTAATCATTTTTTTAAATAAATATTGCATAAGGCCCCCAAGCAGTCATAGAATCAGTTCAATTCTCTGTAGAATATGATATCAGTGCTAAGAGCAAACAGATTATAAAATTATTTTAACATAAGAACCTACAGAAATTGTATATTGTGGTTGAGCATATTTTTGAAAGTATGCAAAAATTATCTCTTAAACTTTGGTCACTATCTGCTAAAATAACTGTGCTATAAACACCAATAAAATATGTTTCAGAAGTACTTTTACCTATATGCAAATATAACTGATTAAACAGATAATTCATTCATAAGCTAAGATTTATCTAATTTGGTAACAGCTTTAATTAGGCTATATCTTAACTAAGCATATTTATATATTTTTTCCTTCTATATCTTAACTGGATAGAACTTTGAAATTAATTGTCTATGTATTAATAGTTTAGTTGCTGGTAAATAGTTTGTGTAAATAAGATTCTATAGGCATTTTTGGTCACTTCAATCACCCTAATAGACTCTATATAAGTAGCACTGGTGGGTTGTTTTATTGTAGGATAGGAGATGTGTTGTAGGTGGGGGGTTTTTATGATGTATTGATGTGTATAGCTTCAGGAGTCATTTGACTGGTGCAATATAGAAATTTTGTTAATAAATAAATAAGGATTACTATAGATTTCTTTCTACCAGAAAAATCTATTTGCAAGTATGTTCTTTGCAATACTCTTTGGCTAAATGTTTGTTCACTGCTATAAGTAGTTGGAAAATTATTTTCAGTTCATAAGGAGTTTGGAATTTCAAGTTTGGATACTATGGGCAAGAAAGATATTTTCCCCAAAGTCACATTTTATAGCTTGTTTTTTTGTTATATATACACACACACATACACACACACATTTATAACTTCTGAAAAGAATGCTTCAATTATATTGTCCAACATTTTTAACTTTCCTGAATTCAACATTTAATTGTGTGACTATGCCCTGGTAACATATATTACATTCATAAATTATGCCATCTTATTTTGATCACCAGACTTTTGTGTCAATCAACAAAAATAATTGCTGAAATCAATTCAACATATAACTCGTACAACACATCTATCAAAAGAAAAACTTATTCTAACCAATAAATCCTTTTAAACATCAACAAACTAAAATTAATAGGAATATACCTGGAGTATTTTTGCATTCAGAGAGAATAGACAGATTATTTTTCACATTTATTCCTGGCAAATTGCTGATTATCTGTTCTGGAAAGTCAGTCTGTGTTGAAGATGTAGTAGTACATCTAGAATTAGCAGCACAGGCAGCATTATTACTGCTGGCTGGGATGATTTGTACTTGATTGATTTCTTTGATTACCTGCTCATATGAAGGCGGCTGCAAAATAAAAATACCAAATGTACATGACATCATTCATTATAAAAATACAGCATTTGTGAATATACAAAATTCTAGTCCATGTCCTAAATGCTTTTTTAAATAGTAATGTTATTAAAAATTACAACTACAATGATAAAAAAACTAATACAAACTAAAAAAAGAAAAGAATAAAAAGAAAAAATAGAAGGTGCAGAAAAGAAAAAGAAAATAGAAAGAAAAAATAAGAACATAGTAAAGAAAAAGAAAAAAATGAAGAAATGACTTCCTCCATCACAAATATAAACAATTTTAGTAACTTATCACCTTTTCTTAAAATACAACAATGATCTCTTCTTCCCATATCTTATCTCTTATCTATAAACAAATCCTTAAAACCTCGTCATTTCAGTCCTGATGTGAGCAAATATTCATTAAGGGTTACCAGAGATAACAACATATCTATTTTAACCTGGGTCAAATAAACCAACTTTATATTCTTTCCTTTTACTTCTAACAATCTTGATCTTTAGTCCCTTCAAATAATGTCCTAGAACTTGGATTTCTTTTCATTTTTTCTTTGCCCCTTCTCTCAAAATTCTTCAAAGCTTTTACAAGCCCCTTTTGTAAATCCAATATAGGAGAATTACCCAGGTCACTGTCTTGAAAACCAAGAGAGTTATTTGTATATCCCTTTTAATTATTAAGATATCAGCCAGTTTCTTTTGTACATCCAGCGTAGCATCTTTTTCCATATCATTCTTGTTTCTTGTCATTTTAAATCCACTTTCAGATCAGTCTCAGTCTGATCCAGTAAAACTTGTTCCTCTTCCATAACATCTTTTAAACAGTCTATCTAAAGAGGCAGACACTCTTAAAATTAACTTCTGGGTCCATTGTTCAAAAATATCATTCAATATGTCCAACATTAAAATAGTTTGCTCCATTCTGTATTAGTAAGTCAAATTTAAGTGTTCTTCTCCTTTAAGTGTAATCTTTAGTTCCATCTGGTTCCCTCTAGTGTCCAACCTTCAAAGTTCCATCCTATCATTTTTTTAAAAATCAAAATAAAAGCATTTTCCCATGAGAAGGAGTCTTATAATTAATTCCAAAATCTTATTTCAAATTCATATGGACCCTTAGCCAGTTTGTAACTTTCTTAAATCAAAGTTCTAGTCACCCTTTTGCTGTTTATCTCAGAAAAAAAAATTAAGTCCTTAAACTTGTATTTAAAACTTCCTTCACTAAGGATTGAAGTAAACTCACCTGGTACTGTAAAACTTGTCAATCCAAAGGTTCCTAGTAGCTGAAAATCAGTTAACAAGCAATTTCCAAAAGTGATTAGAAAAGCAAGCATGCAAACTTAGTGCCCTTTTGAATGTGCTGACTGCAATTTGAGCAAGGTGGCTATTCCCTCGTCTCCCAGAGCTCTAAACATGCCAGAGAGGTGAGGAGCAACTGCTTGGAGCACTTGTGGGAGATCTGAAGAGGATCAGATCCTCTGGAGAGGAATTATTGAAGAGCCGGCCTACTCACCCGCTCTTCATTCTGCCACAGTTCCCTCCCCTGAAGTGACCGTCCTTGTCCTAAATGCTGATAACAATGAATTCTGATACTCATGTTATTTCACTATATTATAGTGCTCAAGCAAACATCAACTTGAACCAAGGGTGAAATCCTGTGCTTCCTCACCTCAGCTGGAACAAGTTCACTGGCTCTCCAAGGTGTCTGGCTATGAGTTGACTGGAATACTAGCCCTTGTTGAGGGACACGATTTCCACCTGGAAACCAGGAGGATGGTCCAAGTGGCTCAGCTGCAACTATTGTGATTTCCGGGCGTCTGGATGGGAAAAAAGAAGACCAAATTCAGCAGTTCATGATTATAAAGTATTTTGGAAAGTTACTGGGCTTTTTTAATTCAATTGCTGAGCAACACTTTTTCTCATTCTTCAGTGGGACACTTCTGCCCATAGATATTAATAAGTCCATTTATGTTTCTGTTGCCTGTCATTTAGATAACCTTATCTTTGAATATTAATATCTAAGAGGCCAGTAAAATCCCCAAAATTGTTACAACTGGCAAGAATTCAATATTTGAACTCTTGAAATATACACATAGATTTGCTCTAAACCATCAGCCAATACACTTTTGGGCACCTAAGGACATGAATTGCCATAAACTAGAAAATGCTGTAGAGTCCACAAAAACACTGTAGTATCTTGGATGTCCAATTTCAACAGGCCTGATTCCATTGCTTTGTAATCACAGCATCTGTGTATATAACATATCCATTCTCCCTGGCCACTTTCCCCAATATTTTGGAAAATGATAAAGATACATCTCTTCTATCAAGGTTTTACTTGTTTATTTATTCTAATGTTTAATGTCAATGTTCATTTTAATTGTATTGTTAGTTTAACTTACATTGTAATGTTTTTAATCACCATATGCTATCTTGATTGTTGAAGAAGCAGAAAGGCAGGAAAGCAATTAAATAAATCAAGGAACAAAGTACTTGAAACAGTACTAGTTCTTTCCATCCTAAACCTCTTTTTCAGTTACTGTGGTCCACTGAATACGCCGCAAGAGAGAAGATAGATTTTAAAATACAATTTCCAAAGCCAACACATTTTAAAAACTATTAATTCTGTCTCATTTTTAAAACTCTTAATTCCCTCCCAACCTCCCATCCCAATCTGCTATCAGAAATCCAAAGTTTTCCACTGAGTTTTGAAACTGTGATCTTGGGAGCTTGAAAGTCTGCATAAGAGAGTCTGGACTGTCCTTCCTGGCTTAAAAGAGATATAGAACAGGGATGCGCGCATGTAATAAAAGATACCCGATGGCAGTGATAGCAACATTTTCATTTATATCTGGTAAGTCACCTCTCACACTTGTTTTATTAATAGGAAAATTACAAATGAAGGAGCAATGATTATCATACCTTCTTTCTCTTTGCTGTTCACTGTGATAAGATGTCCGAGAAGCTAATTTTAAAAAAAAAAGGTAAACTATTAATTTTTAACCACTGCTAATATAACATTTAATTTTTTGTTTCTCAAAATTCTTCACGAATGATTACTGTCTATAGGTGATTATCATAAAAATCATTCATTAAATTCATGATTAAATTCAAAACACAAACTTCAGATTTGATCAGCATCTTCTTTTGACTCTGGGGTTAAAAAAATTTCATGAAACATACCTTATAGCTCAAAAGACAACATATAGAGAATACAAAATTAGTCCCACAGTATTAAAATATAAGTATGTGTGTTTGATTTATTAAGGTCTTTAAAAAAGCTCTGATGAACTTAAAAGTTCATATACTGCATACCTTTTGAGTTTATAAATGAGTTCATTTTAGTACAAAGGCAAAAAGTCTGGTTTGCAAAATATCCACACAGTGAATTAAACCATATGGACCTTGACTTAGCATTATTAAGTGAACCACTTCTGCTTTATAGATCAGAAATTACTTACTTAGTGATCTATCATCAGATTTATTCATCAGATTTTTGTGCCCCCAATTTTACTACAAATTGAGTTAGTGTGAATTTTCAATAACTATGCTTTAAATGGCTTAGCATGATGTGTGAACCCACAGTGTGTGATGGATTCTATCAATTTTTCCGACTTTCTTCACATCCCCATTGATGTCTGTGCTTTCAAATAATAAGGAAAAAGTGGAATAGACATTTCCAGTAAGTGATTCCATAATTCCATGCAAAGCTCCAGTATGATTCAGGCAATATTACCACTAATAAAAAATTAATGCTTATCTTAGGTAGTTATATTTTAACACATTTTATAATGCAAAATGAACTACATATGTTCTCATTATATATCTTATTAGCATAACTGAAGTTGTATTTGAATGAAATCATTTGCATTTATCTTATATAATTAAAACAATAAGAAATTAGCCAGAAAGAATGTTCTCCAGATATATGATTTAGCAGAAAATCTTGTTTGCTTACACAGCTGCAAATTATCCTAATTACACCATTGTAAATTCATAGCAAAGCACCAGGTGGGGAAGGGAGAAAAGACATACCTCTTCTACGGGGCATATTTGATGTGCACTATTCATGAGTGCTAAAGGAAAAAAAGAAGGGTTACAGCAAAAGAAGATAAAGGAGGAGGGAAAAAGAACAAACCAAGTGAACAGTAAAGATCCATTAGACTGTCTTTGTTAGTCAGATATCATAGTATTTTTTCCCCCACAAAATGAATGCTGGCAGTGTTTTAAATGCCTGTTTTAAAATTGGGAAGAAATTCAAATTTGGCTTTAAAAAGAAAAAAAATAACCAACAGCTTTATACTGTATCTGTTCAAACAGCAGAATTAAACAGTTTCCTTATTTTAAAGTTGTTAGTACACAAAAATGGTTTTGTTTTCTGACTATTCAACACTGCTGTATTAATTGGAGACAGTATAATTACTCAAAATTTCCATGTTCTACAATGGCAAGATGTTTCTACTTCTCTGTCTTAGTAAATGTCAGTTTTGCAACAGATGTTAATGCTTCTGTATTACTGGCTTTTTCTGTGACAAATGCATATTACTTTCATGCTCTTCTTCAGACAGATTTATCTTTGAGAAACAGAATCTCTCTCCTGGTTTTGTCTTAATCTAACACTGATTTTAAAAGATAAAGGCTCATGATACTTCATTAAAAGCTGTACACTTCCTTTAGGAATCAACCTTAACTCAGAAAACTTTCAGTCAAGTTCCAGAGAGCATCATGCATAAATAAAAATAATTTCTGTTTGTAAACAAAATTTCCTTTTTCATTTTAGTCATTGGGCTCAACTGAAGTTGCAGTAGAGAATTTCTTGACTTTAAAGAGATCTCTGCAGTGAGATGAGGATCTCTAGTGCATTAGATTGTTATGCTAGATGTGGGGAGATCCAGCTTCAAATCCCATTCAGCCTTGGGGACATTAAGCCACTCAATATCTATTAGTGTAATCTATCTAATCTAATGATATATAATAATGTTATTTTTTTCCCCAGGGATATGGAACTATCCTCACTGATACTTAATAAATCTCAAACAATTCCTTTTACATACATACTTTTCCCTTTCACTCACATCCTATTCAACTTTCCAAACAAAACTGTTGTAAGCATGCATGCAGTAATTTTGTGCATCCCTTTGTAAAAGCTATCAGCTATTCACAGTAACATTCCTATAAATGTATGTGTGTGTGTGTGTGTGTGTGTGTGTGTGTGTGTGTGTGTGTGGTGTCTACATACTTATATATGAGTATGAGAACTCTAGGGAAAACTGCTGTAAACTCACCAACATTTCAGAGATACTGTCTGAACTACTGCATTCTGGAAGAGATCATAATGCATTAGTCTATTTTAGATGAACTCATGAAATGCTGTCTTGTTAAAGATTTCATTGGAAATAATTGGGTATCCTTGTGCATAGAGAGAAAGTGAGTGAGCAAGAAAATGCTTGCTTGTAGATAAATCACCCATGAAGGAAAACATTCCTTCTATTTTAAACAAAAAGAAACAAGTACAGAGTGAGGGGTATAGCAAATTTCAACACATGTTTACACAACCAGTGTGTTCAGTGGGACTAAATAGGAAAAACATACAGAAAGGGAAGGAGATGGAGATGGAGAAAAGTACCATCACAGATAACAAAATTAAAAACTTCTATGCACTCTGGAAAAGGCTTTTATACTTCCAATATATGTGTGTGTGTGTGTGTGTGTGTGTGTGTGTGTGTGTGTGTATATATAGAAATATTATTCCAATTAAGGGAAAGCATGAAAGATAAACATTAATTAATTAATGTAATTAATAGTTGTCGCAGCTCCTAAAAATGTCTTCTGAAAAAATACTCTTAATCTTACAAAATGTTAGTTCCTCTCTTTAGAACCCCCCCAAAAAAGTTGGGGAAAAGTTACTTTGATTTGAAAGCTGGAAAAATACTCATATGAAACATGAAAAGTAAGTTTAGTAAAATAGTGTAATATATATATAAGTGACAATTCCACATAAATATTAATGTTAGTTTGCAGTAAAAGGAATGAAAGAATTTGAGGAAGATGCTTAAGAATGAAGGGATGAAAAAGGAAGTGAAACAGTATCACTTTATCAGACTCAATTTAATCCGCCATCTATTTATAATTAACTAGAATGTCATAAATAATTTACTATGAAGTTTGAATTAATATAGTC